CAGTTCCCCTATAGCGCATGTGTTTGGACTGTGGGGGAAACCGGAGCGCCTGGAGAAAACCCACGCCAACATGCAAACTCCACACAGAAATGCCAACTGACCCACCCGAGAATCCAACCAGCGACCTTCTTGCTCTGAGGCGATTGTGCTACCTACCTACCCATAATCATTAATTCATCCATCTCTAACTAAACACGTGCATTAAAATACTCAACACATACAAATACAGATTCGCTCGGCAAGCGTAGACCACGACAAAAACCTGTCTGGGGACCCCAAAAATGTTAAAGATGGTTTATCTGATTTTATGGAGATGCACTCCCACTGCAGAACCATTCCAATCCATCAAACATTACACATTCCTTCCTAATAGAGATATTAAGTCATTGTGTGAAATTGGATTAATATCGCAATATATATATCACACAATAAAAAATATCGCAAAGCTCGATTTCCAATATCGTGCAGCTCTAGTGTGTGAGCATGTCCTGTGTGTGGTGATGATGGTTCTGATATTATAAACTTTCTGTCTCTGTTGTGACTGTCTTTGGGTCAGTGAGGAAGAATCTTTTATTACCACGGCAACAGCAGCCGTCCTCTTCCTCTCTCACACACACACACACACACACACACACACACATTGGCAGCGAGAGGACGGTGTAAGTCCTTTATCAGAGTTAATGTGTTTTGTGCGTCCAGCAGCGGGTGTCCTCTCGTCTCAGATGAATATTAAACAGAGTGTGTGTGTGTGTGTGTGTGTGTGTGTGTGTGTGTGTGTGTGTGTGTGTGTGTGTGTGTCATTATATTAACCTGTGTGTCCTCTGAGAAACTTTGTCTCAGATCTGTTTCATCTGTCTGACACAAACACAACTCTCTGTAATGCTGCCGTTCATATTATTTATGAAGGAGATATTCAATGATTTAAACTATTGTCAAATGAGCAAATCCAGAAATAACTTTACAATTACTGGCCCAATATATGTATAATATATATTAGTGTGTTTGTTTGTTAAATGTACTTGTGGATAGAAATGTTCAGATAGTTTTGTAATAATAATGTAAACGTCTATTATAATTATTATTATTTGGAGCAAAGAGGAAGTGTATAAAAGTGCTTTTCTAAAAGTCATATACTCATAATCTGTTGTTCATCACTGCAACAGTAAATACTAAGCTCTGTCATTTTGATGGCTAAAACATAATTAAAAAATAAATTAAAACATGTGACGTTTCCATGAATTGAGGAAAATCAACCTTTGATGGAGCTCAAAGATTTCTTAAATTGTGTGAGATTTATGATTTGATGTGTTTTTAATTTTTCAAATGATGAATTTTAGAAAGCCGAATTTGCCGATCTCACTGACGCTCTCAAGCTGTGAAGTTCACTATTAAACTCACTGAAAGTCACTGTTGAAAGAAATTCAGTCCTCAGTCTGTGTCCTGTCTGTCTGATTCTTTCTGTCTCTGTTGTTCCTTCTGTCTGTCTGTCTGTCTATCTATCTGTCTATCTGTCTATCTATCTATCTATCTGTCTGTCTGTCTGTCTGTCTGTCTGTCTTTCTGTTTGATTCTTTCTGTCTCTGAGGTTCCTTCTGTCTGTCTGTCTTTCTACCTGTCTGTCTGTATGCATGTATCTCTATCTGTCTCTATTTATCTATCTATATGTCTGTCTGTCTGTCTGATTGTTTTTGTCTCTGTCTGTCTATCTATCTATCTATCTATCTATCTATCTATCTATCTATCTATCTATCTATCTATCTATCTATCTATCTATCTATCTATCTATCTATCTATCTATCATCTATCATCTATCTATCTATCTCTTTCCGTCTGTCTTTGTTTCCTTCTTTCTGTCTATTTATCTGTCTGTGGTTCATTCGTTCTCTCTGTTTTTTTGTCTGTTCATCTGTCTGTATCCACCTGTCTGTCTATCTATCTGTGTGCTAAATGACTAAATGTAAATGTCTATCTATCTATCCGTCTGTATCTCCATCTGTCTGTCTGTTTGTCGGTCTGTCTGTCCGCCTGTCTCTCTCATCACTGACAGGATCTTCTCACCAGTCTTCCAGGAAAGTGTTTGTTAAAGAAGGGATTGGTCAGGATGGTTAACCAGTACCTCTTCAGGTCAGCACAGGGTTTATTTATTTTGAGCTTAATTACGTGAATAATGAAGCCTAATTATAGAGGCTTTCCTGAAGAAGCAGCATCGATCTGGTGTTCAGACCAGCCACTAACAGCGGCTTTACATAAACAGCACATTACCTGTGGGAGCCTAAAATACCTTATTCAGGGTTTATTTAATGACAAGGCTAAGATTTGTTAATTGTTTATTTGTTCAATTATTTTTCTTTGATTTAATTAAAATATTTTTATGAATTCAGTTGGGCGGCACGGTGGCATAATGGTTGACACTGTGGTCTCACAGCAAGAAAGTCTCTGGTTCAAGTCCCGGCTGGGTCAGTTGGTGTTTTTGTGTGGAGTTTGCATGTTCTCCCCGTGTTGGTGTGGGTTTCCTCCGGGTGCTCCGGTTTCCCCCGCAGTCCAAACACATGCGCTATAGGGGAAATGATCAACTACACTGGTCGTAGTGTATGAGTGTGCGTGTGCGTGTGTGTGTGCGTGTGCGTGTGTGTGCGCGTGTGCGCGTGTGTGTGTGTGTGTGTGTGTGTGTGTGTGTGTGTGTGTGTGTGTGTGTGTGTGTGTGTGTGTGTGTATTTTCTGTACTGGGTTGCATCTGGAAGAACAGGGCATCCGCTGTGTAAAACATATGCTGGAATAGTTGGTGGTTCATTCCGCTGTGGTAACCCCTGATGAATGAAGGGACTAAGCTGAAGGAGAATGCATAAATTCAGTTTTTAAAGGATCATTTTAGTGAGTAAACAGTAAGTGAATCCATATTTCTACTCGAACACGAGTAGAAAAACTAATTTAATATATAATAGTTGATTAAATTGTTACATTTTGATTGATTATGATTTTTTTTATAATTAAAATTTAGTTACAGTACCTTGAATCCAGTACATTTGAAATAAAAACATTGGGGAGAAAACGGATATTATGGGGCACAGAAATAGACTGAGCACATATTTTTGAGATTTTGCTGTCCTGTTGGTGTCTGATCCAGGATCAGGACTTTGATTCTGTCTCTCTTGACTGTGGTTCAGGAATGTGCACAATCGCACACTGGTATCCCATGATGCCACTGGTGTCAGGAACAATGACGACTCTTTATCACACCCTCAAACGCCTGAATGGGAGTCATTGTAGATGTGTGTGTGTGTGTGCGTTTGTATTTGAGGGTTGAAGACAATATTATTAAAATTATATATATATTTTTTAAAAATTCCCAGATGATGTTGAGCAGATTGAGGAATTGTTTACAGTGTTTCCTCTAATATTTGTTCTTCTGGAGAAAGTCTTATTAGTTTTATTTTGGCTAGAATAAAAGCAGTTTTTAATTTTTTATTAATTAAAAGCTCAATATTATTAGCCTCCTTAAGAAAGTATTATTTTCAACTATCTCCAGAACAAACCACTGTTGTCCAATGACTTGCCTAATTACCCTAACTTTATCCTAATTACCCTAGCTGCATCTTTAAATGTGACTTTAAGCTGAACACTAGTGTCTTTGTCTTCATGACAAAGACAAAAGACATCAGTTATTAGAAATATTTTGTTTAGAAATGTGTTGAAGACATGAACTTCTCTACTAAACAGCACTTGGGCGAACAATTTGATGTGTTTGCAGTAGTGTTTGCTGATAATGTGGTTCAGACGGTGATTGTTTTAGGGGCTGTGTGTGTGTGTGTGTGTGTGTGTGTAAGATCCTCTTTTCCAGCGTCTGATCTCTGTCTGTTGCCCTTCATCATCAGCGCTGGTAAATCCCCTGGACCGAAGCCCAAAACACACTTCCCCATCAGCACTTCTCCTTCCTCTTATTGGCTCCTCAGCAGCCAATCAGGCACCAGCGATGCTCAGATGCAGAGAAGGTGTTGTAGAACATTAAGCGTTCAACCGCCTCGACCGCAGAGGAAGTCTGAAACAGGAAGTCGTGGGTTTAGCGTTATCACTTTCACTAGTCTAGTGTTTTTCGTTTTTTTGGTTGCTTTGACACGTGGAAGGAGATTTCCGCAGTGTTTTGCTTTCATTTGCTGTTAACGCAGCTCTGAAACCTGCAGATTCACAGAATTCCACATTCCGCGTCTCTGCAATGTGACCATAAGCAGTTAAGGGCCGAAATTATTCACTCTCCTGTGCAATTCTTCTTCAAATATTTCCCAGATGATGTTGAACAGATTCAGGAAATCTTCACAGTATTTCCTCTAATATTTGTTCTTCTGGAGAAAGTCTTATTTTCTTTATTTCAGCTAGAGTAAAAGCAGTTTTTAATGGTTTTAAAGCCATTTTAAGCTCAATATTAAACAGCAACATTAGTGTTGGATTGTCTCCAGAACAAACCACTGTTATACAATGACTTGCCTAATTACCCTAACTTTACCCTAATTACCCTAGTTATGCTTTTAAATGTTTAGTTTAAATGTAATGTTAGTATTTATGGATTTAATATTAATTAACTATTATGTTTAATAGTGTGCTGAACAAATCTTCTCTCTGTTAATCAGAAATTGGGGAAAATATAAAAGAATTCAAATTTAATGGCTTCAACTGTATATATTGTATGAATAGGCTTGTGACAGTACCAGAATTTCAGTATTTAGTGTCTATACCAGTGTAAATACAGTTTAATAATTGCTCCTAATTAGAAAAATATCACTGAGACAAAAATTGAAACACAAATTAAAGAAATGACAGCAAACTCATCAGTGGAAAAGATGACATACAGTTATCAGGATATGAGCTGACTTGTGGGATGATAAGATATATTTTTGTGTGTGATATTTGCTCTTCTCTGACCTGTGCTGTGTGTGTGTGTGTGTGTGTGTGTGTGTGTGTGTGTGTGTGTGTGTGTGTGTGTGTGTGTGTGTGTGTGTGTTTTGCAGATCTGCGTGGCTTGGCAGCGGTTCCTCGTGGCATGACGACCACTAATAAAGGAAACAAGGCCTTGAAGGTGAGCTCAGGTCAACTCTTATTATTGATCCAGTCAGTCAGCATCAGCATCGGTAGACGTTCAGAGTAATGTTCACACTGATCTTTGTCACCTTTACTTATATACAGTTTAAAATTGTGTAGTTTTAATTCTTTTAAAAATATCATCCAAGTGCTGTTTAACAGGTTTTCTCAACACATTTCTTATCATAATAGTTTTAATAACTCTAAACTCTAAATAACTCATCTCTAATGACTGATTTATTTTGTCTTCTCCATGATGACAGCACATGATATTAGACTAGATATTCTTCTAGACACTAGTGTTTAGCTTAAAGTGACATTTAAAGGCTTTACTAAGTTAATTAGGGTAAAGTTAGGGTAATTAGGCAAGTCATTAGACAACAGTTGATTCTTCTGTAGACAATAGGGGAAGAAAAAGATTCTTAACACTGGAAATACCAGAAGTCTACTAGAAGTACCAATGCAGTGACCATTCTCCTATAAGACGTCATATTCATTCATTCATTTTCTTTTCGGCTTAGTCCCTTTATCAATCTGGGTCGCCACAGCGGAATGAACCGCCAACTTCTCCAGCACATGTTTTACACAGCGGATGCCCTTCCAGCTGCAACCCAACACTGGGAGAAAGACGTCGTATTGTCACATCATATTTACATTCAAAGCTTCTATTGAGATATTATAATTGAGCTTTAGATGTCTGTCGTCATATTTCATCAAGTTATCCCTCTGAAAGTGCAATCTTTTTTGGTAATACAGCCTATAGTTAGGCTGTTAGACCTGTGAATGTCTGCGCCTCACTTTCATTTTTTTACTTTGACTAGCAGGAGAGCAGGCTTTTTTTGCAGCGCCGAATATGCTGTTTAGGAAGACATATCTGAAGTAAAGTGATGTTTTGCTATCAGAAAGTCATGTTTATATTAGCCGAAAGTTGCGAGGCAAAAGTGGCACGCATATTCAATGTCATAGGGAAAAGTAGCAGACACTGCAATGCATTCGGCATTGTGACCGTTTTGGTATTTAAAGATAGAAATACTGGTAGCTTTTTTTTTTTTTTGGTAATTTTAATAAAAAAAAATAAAAAAAAAACTAACCCTAACATATATAACATATTAAATAAGACTGTTATGAAGAAATATACACATATTTGAGAAAAGTCAAAGTATTATAGATATATGTGTTTTATTTCAAGAGTTATTCAATTGAACATTTAAAACGGTCACAATAACCCCCTTGGCAGATCTAGTGTTGAAGGGGGCTAGTAATATTGACTTAAAAATAGATAAAAGAAAATAACAAAGAGCAAAACAACATTTCAGATGTTTTACAATGTACTGGAAATGCTGCAAAGTCATGAATGTGTCCCATCACACACACTGTGAAAAACTAGAGCACATCACACACACTGTTAAGTCTCTAAATTTGTTCACAGCAGAGTTTATGTGCATTAGGGATGTGCACATCGATGCTCAAGTATCGATATTTAGAAGATTTTAATTTGGTATCGATATTTTTTTAAAGTATCGATATTTTAATAATTTCTGAATAACTAAATGTTTTAGCGCTGTGTACAGGATTATCAGTGACGCATTGTATACAAGACGTCAATCTGCGGCAGAACGTGACGTGAGTGATCATGTGGCTTTCAGATAACTTACGTACTCAACACACGCAAGTCACACACTTCTGCATTAATATATATTAATATATATATTTATTTACATGTTTTTTTTTAAGAATATTATTTTGAAAAATTACATTAATATTTTAAATAATTAGTGGTATCGTTTTCCCTAATCCCTAATGTGCATTTTTTGATTGATTCATTAATTTTCCCTCATCTTAGTTCTTTTATACCTCTGGGGGCTTACGAGACAATCGCTTGGTGATTTCCAAAAATCTAATTAATTTCATTAAACTATTAGAATTACCATGTTTATCCATGTCCTACAGAAGAACAAATAGTAGTTAATAGTTGCATTAAAAAACAATATGCAAATGAAAAGCATCAGCCTTTATGTTTTTTTCCAGGATTGCGACCCCTGGGGTGATAATGTTATATTAAAGACATGGCAATAGCATCAGAGGCAGCAGATTGATTCTATGGCACCAGGTTAAACTTTCTGACACCTTTACATCAATAAAGGCTACGACTCCATGCGGAGGAAGTTCTCTGAGTGGCGTTCTCCAAAATGAAACAAAAATAGATTTAGGTGTATTGGTGTGCGTGCACTGTTGCAAGGTTTGAATATTTATAACCACCTCAGAGGATATTAGGGGTCGCGAGTCTGGAATTGTACATTTAAGGGTCGCGAGCTGAAAGGTCTGGGAATCTTTTCCTTATCGCACATGTGTTTGGACTGTGGGGGAAACCGGAGCACCCGGATGAAACCCACGCCAACACTGGGAGAACATGCAAACTCCATTTTTTCTTATCAAAAAAATTATAAGAGTTATGTGCATAAACATATTCACATTTTCAAAAGTAATACTCATATTGGTGTTTTCATTTAGCATTTTTAATGCGATAATCCGTCATGCACATAAAAATAGGTCATCATAGAGTGTGTTTGGTGACTCCTAGTGGAGGTCGCGACCCATTCATAAGCCCACACCAAATCTGAGCGTGCAGAAATCCTCTGATTTTAGAGCCCATCATTGCATGTGTTTATTTACTGATTTACTGCAGCACATTTCTAAGTGATCTCTCCATGTGTGTGTGTGTCAGGTGAAGAGGGAGCCCGGCGAGAACGGGACAAGTCTGACGGACGATGAGCTGGTGTCGATGTCGGTGCGCGAGCTCAACCAGCACCTCCGCGGCCTGTCCAAAGAGGAGATCCTGCAGCTGAAGCAGCGGCGGCGGACGCTCAAGAACCGAGGCTACGCCGCTAGCTGCCGAGTCAAGCGCGTAACGCAGAAAGAGGAGCTGGAGCGCCAGAAGGCGGAGCTCCAGCAGGAGGTGGAGAAGCTGGCTTCAGAAAACGCCAGTATGAAAGTGGAGCTGGACGCGCTGCGCTCCAAATACGAGGCTCTGCAGAGCTTCGCCAGAACTGTGGCGCGAGGGCCTGTGGTGCCCGTGTCCACCGCAGCCGTGCCCGTGTCCCCCCGCGGGCCCCTGGCCTCCGTCATCGGGCCCCTGATCCCTGGCAAGGTGGGAGCCACCAGTGTGATCACCATAGTAAAGTCCAAGACCGACGCCAGGTCTTAGTAGCGCATACAGTAGAAGGTTGGTCAGTGCACCATAGAGCTGCAGCCAGGAATGCATGGATTGTTTCTTACATTTATGGAATCAATCGCGATTCTCTCTGGAATAAATTTTGAGGTGCAGATAGTGATCCAGGCTAGTTTTGGACAGCAGATGGCGCTTTAGGCTAGTTTTAAAAGCAGATGGCGCTCTAGGCTAGTTTTGGACAGCAGATGGCGCTCTAGGCTAGTTTTGGACAGCAGATAGGGCTCTAGGCTAGTGTTTAATAGCAGACAGTGCTCTAGACTATTTTTGGACAGCAGATGGCGCTCTAGGCTAGTGTATAACAGCAGCTGGCGCTTTAGGCTAGTTTTAGACAGCAAATGGCGCTTTACGCTAGTGTTTAACAGCAGATGGCGCTCTGAGGTAGTTTTGGACTGCAGAAAGTGCTCTAGGCTAGTGTTAAACAGCAGAGGGTGCTCTAGACTGGTTTTGGACAGCAGATGGCGCTCAAGACTAGTTTTGGACAGCAGATGGCGCTCTAGGCTAGATTTTTACAGCAGGTGGCGCTCGAGACTAGTTTTGGACAGAAGATAGTGCTTTAGGCTAGTTTTTTACAGCAGATGGCGCTGTTGGCCAGTTTTTAACAGCAAAACACTTTTAAACCGCACACTAAAGCCTAGAGCGCCATCTGTTGGTAAAAACTGAACTCAAAATCTATTCAAGACAGAATCGCAATGAATTGGTAAGGTCTCAGACTCCGTGTCGAACGGTTTCTAGATTGGCGATGCCTGGATTTCTGGAAGCAGCTCTAGTGCATGAGGCTTCAGGTGTGGGAGGCGCTCTCGCAGGCCGATGAACACCCATTAAAACTCTCTAATGTGGCTCACAAAACACGGAAAGCACATCACGGATGGTGATTCACTTGGGCTTCCAAAACATCTCCAAATTACGAAATGCGAAAAACATGCAGCCAAATTCTCTCTTGGTGGATCTGTGTGTGTGCTGTGACATTTGTAATTTTGTACAATTATTGGCGACTTTGTATTGTGTTTTTCACATGGGGTCCAAGTGTTTTATTTATATGTGATCATTCAGTGTTTACTGTACTTTTTATACGGCGTTCGGTGTTTCTTTTCTCGTCGGATATATACATATATATATATATACTGTTTCGCCATGTTTCCGTCCTTTTGTTTACGGACTGCAGGCACAAAACACTTTAAACCGTTCAGACTTCCAAACTCTTTTGGCGTGGAACTGGAGGAGCTTTCCATGGTGGGAGAGCGTCAGCCAATGAGAAGCTCCCTTTACCTGAGCCTCGTTTATGCACTGACCAATCACTGAGGGGCGTGAGGAGAGGAGGCGGAGTCGAATCAGCTGATGTTGTTCATATGGTAGCTATATCAGAATCTGCCACCAGTTTATGAGCTCCAGGCGTCCGCTTCAGGACAGGAGGTGCTTTTATCGGCAAGGCAATAACATGTTGATGTTATGCGGCGGTTGTGACTTGTTTTTCTTTATTGTCTTGATGTGTGAGCTTCGCACAAGTCCCGTCGTCTTGAGAATTGAAGAATATTTATGTTCTGTGTTGGTTTTGTTTATTTATATCTTTTTTTTACTTCTGCCTCTGAAAGTCGGACCGTCAGGTGACATAAACTGGTGAAATCTCACAAGCTTTACCATAACTTTGTTGCTGTGACATTGCGTAACGTATTCTAAGAATCTTTGTCTATATGGTGGAGTCTTGAATTTTATAAAGAAAAAAAACGACAGAGTATCTTGCATTATTTATAAAATGTTTAAAAAAAAAAAGAAGAATTATAAAGTTGTTTGATAGCTCTCTCTTTTGCAATTGTACCAAAAGTGGCTTAACTATTGAAGTCAATAGCTTTTTCTAGTGACTAGGCGCGTAAAACTGTGGACTAGCGCGTGTGGTGTGATTTGTACTGGTGAGGTGGCGGTGTTGTTTACGACGTGGATGTGATGCTCTTATCTTCTGATTTCAGACGATCGAACGCAGGCCGTAACCGCCGCCGCTTGCGTCTGCATGTTTGCGTGCTCCGTGTTTCAGCGGACAACACACATTCTCCAGGCGGCTGCATCGCCTGCGTTTGAGTCCTTTTACGTGACGTGTGATTTTATATATTTTTGATGTAAACCGTTTCTATGGTATATTATATTTGTTGTTGTTCTTTTCTCTCTTTCTTTCTTTTATTTTTGGTTGTTTTCTTGAAATGCCAGGGAAGTGACTCTTGTATCTGCACTGATTGAAACATGCGATGTGCTCCGGCTGCTCTTCATGCTGCAACGCTGCTCCAATATCCCCCATACATTTCTCTGTCCTTTTTGGCCCAATTTTGGTTTCTCCTTTAAGAAAAGGATGTGAACTTGTAGCAATGCAGCACTCGCATTTCTTCAGAGCTACTGTAAGTATGAGATTTAATTTAATTGTTACATCTTTGGAGTCTTGTTTGTTTGTTTATTGCAGCGCACATAACACTAAAATCAACCTGTGTTGCTGCATTGCTGATAACACCAAGTTATTGCATCACTACTATGTATTTAAGTTTATGAAATACTAAATAATTAAAATATGTGCATATGAAGAGTTTATATGCAAAAACCTCTGAGTGAAGTTTATAAAGTAATTTCGAGAGGATCACATGCTTATGAATGACACGGCTGGCCCAGAGTCAAGCTAATGTACGAACCACCAATCAGACGATTCCTAACTCAGTAAAAATAACCAAAGCATCTTACCTTACCTAGTTGTCCTCTTGAAGAATCCCCCCTTCAACCCCCTCTCCTCCTCTTTTTCCTCTATATGACAGCACGGTGGCCCAGTGGCTAGCACTGTGGCCCAACAGCAAGAATGCCAAGAGAGCATCGGGTCTCTACCCGGCCGGTTGACATTTCTGTGCCGAGTTCATGCTCTCCCTAGGTTGGCTTGGGTTTTCCCCCGGGTCCTCCGGTTTCCTCCTACAGTCCAAAACATGAGACATAAGAAAATTGACTGAAATAAATCAGCACCATAGTCAAATTCCACCAGCAACACACCCTCATAGCAATCCTTAAGCAGCAGGGGAGGGAGGTTTTCGAGATCTACCTGAGCTCAAACTCCCCTCTAGCCCCGCAAACAGGAGGGAGCCCCAGCTCAGGGCTCTCTTCCGGGACAGCATGCCAAACTAGCTTATTACCAATTATCAGCTAAGTGTAAATTCTTAAAATGACATCTGAAATTTTCCTTAAAGTGAGTTTTTTTTATCAGTCTCATGTGTGTATGTATGGTAATTTTACTTTTATGGCATAGAACAGGTCTTTTTTCTGGATTTGAAAGTAAAATATTTCAACATAAACAAAGGAGGCTGAGAAAAATGTTCATTTTCGATGGAAATTTCAGACGGCACTTTTGCATCTGAACTCTTCATATATAAAATTTGAAGAATTAAAAGATGTGCATAATATTTCTGAAATAAATGCATGTGCACAAAATAAGATTGCTAAATATTTATATTAAAAATAATGAAGATTGCATGTGCACATTAAATGTGTGCATGCACAAATGACCTTTTCAGGGCTTAAAAATTGCAAGTGTACAACAAGATTACATTTTAGTAATTAATAAATCTGTATGCACAAATGTAATTACATTTTAGTAATTTTAAATCAGATCAGAGTTTATTTATAAAGCACATTTTAAGGAGAGAAATCACCAAAACGCTCCACAGTCATGAGATAAAATCACAAGAGTAATAAAGTTTAACATGAAATGTCATGAGAGATCATTTTATATTAATTGTATGTGCACAATTAAATTACATTTTGCAAATATTAAATAAATTGCAATCATGCAATATGTTTTTCACAATAAAATGTGCACATTCACACAGTTACAACATTAAGAGCTAAAAATGTTCATGCAAACAAATTTAATACATATTTAAGTTGCAAATGACATTGTCAGGAATTACATTTTGCAAATAATTCATACATAAATTGTGAATATGCATTTTTTATTGTGAAAAGTCTACAGTATTTCTGCATGATGTGTCTTTATTTACCGTTGAAGTCAGAATTATTCGCCCACCTTTGATATTTTTCTTCTTTTTTATTACTTAGATTTAAAATAAATCTGCTACAAACAAATATGATTCAAATTATCAATGCATTTAAATATATGCAAAAAAAAGCTTTGTTTTATGTAGAGTTGAAGTAAGAATTATTCGCCCCCCTTTGAATTTTATTTTATTTGTTAAATATTTCCCAAATGATGTTGAACAGATTGAGGAAATGTTCACAGTATGTCTGATAATATTTGTTCTTCTGGAGAAAGTCTGATTTGTTTTATTTCGGCTAGAATAAAAGCAGTTTTTAATTTTTTAAACACCATTTTAAGATCAATATTATTAGCCCCTTCAAGCTATTTTTTTCTGATAGTCTACAGAACAAACCATCACTATACAATAACTTGCCTAATTCCCCTAACCTGCCTAGTTACCCTGATTACCCTAGTGAAGCCTTTACATGTCACTTTAGAAGTGTCTTGAAGAATATCTAGTCTAATATTATTTACTGTCATCATGACAAAGAGAGAATAAATCAGTTATTAGAGATGAGTTATTAACACTATTATGATTAGAGATGTGCTGGAGAAATCTGCTCTCCACTAAACTGAAATTAAGGAAAAAAATAAACAGGGGACTCATAACTTAGGGGGGCTAATAATTCTGACTTCAACTGTACATTAGCAATAATGCTTACAAGTTTCCAAAGATGTGATGGTCCGTTCTCCCCGTGAGCTCATGTTTGCAGTATGTCTGATCTGATGTGGATGCAGCATTAATGCTCTGAAACACTGATTCCTCCCAGCACTAGATACTTCATCATTTTATCTAATCTTGTGAAAATCTCAACAAACCAAACCGACACACGGTGCACATCTGCTTTTAAAGCTCACATCCGCAAAGATGATGATGATCTGCTCCTAAACCGCACTGATCTGGCATTTGAAGAACGAACCCATTGTAGGTATATTTGTACGACAGGGTTTTTTATTCTCGATGTGAATCACCAGAAGTTACTTCCTCTGACTGGCTAATCTGTGAACTGGTTTTGTAACTCAGTCTTTGGTCCATCTCGGCATTGCTTTCGTAACCAATGGTAGCGTTCTTCTCCTGTCGGCTGTGGTGTTTCCGCCATTCTGTAGGCCATGTATCGAGCGCTCTTGAAGAATAAAATAAATATATCTAGCTTTCCACAACCGTTGATGATGATGATGATGATGATGATGTGGTTCTCGTTGACGTGTCGTGTGTCGGTGCGCGGCTGCTGCCCAATCCTGACGGTTTTCTTCCAGAATGAGCAGTCGCTCGCGTGTGTCCTCCTTATGCTCGTCGTCGTGGTGACTTGTGAACCTTTGAACTATATGCAAATCAGGTAGGGAGGGGTCGCGACCTCTCGGTAGGAGTAGTTTTCTCGTCTGTAAGTAATCGCAACACATTTCTGCAAAAAAGAAGCACGACTGATGATGCCGTCTAGATCCATCCAACAAGGGCTCCGCAGCTGAGCGCTTAACTCTAGTTTTTGTGTTTTTTTTCCCTCCTGTTTGAAACAGTGCCGCGTCCCATGAGGCCGAGCAGCGGTGAAGGAAGAGAAGCAAACACACACACACACACACTAAAGTTTAATATCTGCTGAAAGTTGTTAATGGGGATGCACCAATACTCGTAAAACACTGTTCAGGGAAATTGGTGCTTTTGACAACTGTGTGACAGGTTGATAAAGATTATTAATTTTAAATTAATATTGTTATTTTAATTAATATGACAGTGTTAGTTTTATGCATTTTTCTGTTTGTCACAAAGTAGCACAAATCTTGAGTTACTGTTATTTTTAAGTTTCACTGTGTCATACTTGGGAAAACTGACACATCCAAAAACACTTGGTATTGTTGAGTCAGTTTTCCCAAGTATGACCGATACATACATTTTTTGTATTATATAAATATATATCCCCAACCCTATAAATAACCCTATAAATTTTATGCAGATGCACCTCCCAACAAAATCGCCTCAATCATTACAAAATATTAAATTCCTGGCAGGTAGAAAAAAAAATATTGTTACTCATAATCTTTTTTAAAAAAGGATATTGGTGCATAATTTAAAAATAAATAATGTTATGATGCACACCTTTACAAATTCATCGTAATCATTGCAAAATATTACATTTATTCTGAATGCCAATAATAAAATATTAGTACTCGTACTCTTTTTTAAAAAAAAAGCATATCAATGCATCCCTTGTTGTAATTTCTTTAATTAGATTTTATCCAGATGCACACCTCTATAAAATCATCCGTCATTATAAAATAGTTACCAATAAATAAATTTCGGTACACCTACTCTAATTAAAAAAAATAAAACTTGTAATTTATTATATTTTATATCGAGGCACTACCCTTTAAAATCACCATAATTAATGCAAAGTAATTGTTTGTTAGTACTAATAAAAAAAATCAGTAACCATACTCTCTTTTAAGAAATGGTATCAGTGCATCTCTAGCTGTAATTTGTTTATTATACTTTATACAGATGCACACCTCTACAAAATCACCACAATTATTATAAAATATTTAGTTATTTCTGAGTACCAATAAAAAAATATTGGTACTCGTATTATATCTTTTAAAAAAGATATTGGTGCTTCTCTAGTTATAATTTGTTATATTTTATTCAGATGCACACCTCTAAAAATAACCCTAATCATTGCAAAG